GTTTTTTAATGCATACAAGGTCCATGAGCAAATGCAGCAGCAGGGTTGAAACCTGTAGCGGTCAGTACCTGTGCAACAGGCAAACGTATGGTGACCAGCCTCATTAGGAACTGGCAAAGATTAAGTCGGGGCTAGAAAGATCTGTTTTGTATTGTGTGTCTCCCCTTTGTTTGAAGGGTAAAGAAGATGAGGTTCTTCTGCAGTTGTGCAGTGCTTCTGGGCCGGTCTGTGTGCCCCTGCTGATAGGGCTGTAGAATGCATTCCCTTTATACCTACCTCTATCCTGCTCTCAAGTGCAAAAACTGCTTCCCTTCATCAGCTCTGGTGCTTATTCTGTTCCTTAATGAGTCGGTTTAACCCACTCATCCAGCAGGAAAGAACCACAGAATAGTGAGTTACTTCGGAGGTCACAGGGTAAACTGGCTCACCAGAGGGTGGGGTACTCTGAGGGAGGACTGTGTAGCAAGTAAGATGAGTGAGCTGGGCTGCTCTTTTGGTGTTAGTGAACTGTTGGTTCATATAGCTGAATCCATCTAGTCTCATGCTGTAGGCCTGTATTTTATTAAAAATGCACGTTCTGCCTCTTGTGATGGCAGAGGAAAGGGCTAACCATGGCAGGTCTGACACAGCGGGGGCTGCCTATGTCTGGAAACACCCATCACTGTCGTGTGTAAGCAAAGGCTTGTCTGTGAGCACACTGGTTTCATGACATCTCTCGAAAGCCTTAAATGTAGGTTAAAAAATGATGTACTGGTTTCATTGTTTAAAATGGAGGGGAAACCAAGAGGTTCTTTGTTTTCAGGTTATGAAGAAAGGTTTGCTAGTCCCCATGTAATAACTTCTGTCTGTTCTTAGCTCACTTTCCTTCGAGTGAAGTTACAGGGCAGGATAGGAACTTGAACTGCTGTAACTCTGCCTGTGTGTATGTTAGAGTAAGAATACTCAAAGTGGATTACAGAATGTGTCTTTGAAAGTAGTTTAATGTTTGCTGAATACTTGCATTTATTTTGGAGTAAATGCCTGGGAAGAGGAAGTGCTGCTACTGGCTATGTGGAAACATTTTCACAGTATAAAAAGTATTTTGAATTATTCTTTTTCCTCCCCCCCTTGCCCCATTTTGCTTTAAAATGCTCAAAGCAAGCAAAGCATTTGTATCAATGCTTAATATAAATATTATTTTATAACTGGAACTCAGGGTTACAGTTAAATGTTGTGATGTTTTTCTAGGTCTTTATAACAAAATTGAGTTTGGAACTTGGCTATGTAGAGGTTAGCACAGGCATATTTAATGTTTGCCTTTTTAGGTGTATAGATAAATTACTATAGATTTGTGTGGATCTGTTTTATATTTGCTTGCCTAGAGTACCCTCCCCCTGCTTAGTTGTCCCTCCTTTTCCTTCTTTCACCCTTACATGTAGAGACACTGACGTTATTTCATTGGAGGAAAACTAAGAGACAGAAGCTGTTTTGCTTTAACAGAGTGAAACTTTCACCCTGCTTTTGCTTTCTTCTGATTTTGTTTGTCAGGGGAGTGCTTGCAGCTACGAGGCTGGGCAGTGTAAGAGTTGGCAGGTCAACAGAAATGCCGAGTGTCTCATACCTTGGCATTGCAGAGCTCATTGATAAGTTGAGTTTTGCAAGAATAATTACAAATTAACAGAATACCAACAAAAAAGGCAAGTGCTTTGAGTTATTAACACATTTACAGTATTTTCTTATATCCTGAGTTTTAATCTAGTGTTCTCTCAGATATGAGTATTTCACTACTAAATGTAACATTGTATGCAGATTCTAATTATAGATTCATAGCTGACACGCCCTGACTCTGTATTTCTAATCTCTTTCAAAGTAATTTTCTCAAAGCTTCATTCCTGAAACAGTAGGACAAACTGGGGGGAGGAGCAGCCCAGAATACAGCTTGCAGCTGTTATTCTTTCCTTTTAAGCTTGAATAAGAACTTCTGTCCTGGGAAGGAAGTCCCAAGGCTCAGCAACTCAAAATGCATGAAACACTTAAATGCTTCTTAAAATAAAGCTTTGCTATACATAAACCGCATTCATTATATGCCAGTGTGGTCATTTAATACTGTTCAGCCAGTAAAAGTATCCTGTGTTGATGCTTTGCCTTTAATGGTGCAACTCACTGTAGCCCTCAGCGAAGTAGTGTATTGTTCTCCTGATTATTAATATAAATATCTTGCTGAAGGGCTTGAATGGAGCTTGAACTTCTGCTCTAGTTGGAAGTTTTACCTGGCTTATCTTTTCAAGGTAATTGTTGGCCTTTCCCTATCTTGAGTGGTCTGCTCACAGCAGGGAGGGAAACTGATATCTGCCTAAGAAAGCCTGATTTGCACAATAGTTTGAAGACCATTTCCATTTTTGTCATCCTGTTGCAGAGGTGAGCTTCCTCTCTGATGGCTGTACTCACCTTTCCTTGTGTGTTGCCCTGGCAGAGAGCTGAGAAGTCTTTCATATGGTGATTGCTACCTTAATTACTTTAAGTTTTGTGTTAATTTCATTTTCAAAAAGCTGTCTGCTTTTGGCAGTATGTCTTTGTTTTGCTCATCTAAAATTAAGTAGTGTGGTGACTGGCAGTTTTCCAGGAGGACTGACTAGCTGCAGCAATTTGAAATGTCAACGAAAAAGATGAATTGATCTATTAAAATGTTTTTTTTATTTTTCAAGGTAAATATGTATATTCAAGTCACTTCCCTCTATTAGTCCCTAATTTCTAGGGGCCTGATTCTGAGGTTGTGATAAAACTTGTTTTGCCTTTAAAATTAGTGACAGTTGATGAAAGACCCCTAACCAATGAGAGGAAAAATGTCTGTGTAGCACGTACTGATTGCTGCATGGCCTTGCAAGAAAGGTAGTAACTAGTGGGCTCACTCTGCTTTTAGCTTTTACACAGAGCAATAAATGTACTAAGAATGTGTTAGAACATATTCAGAGACAGAATTGGAAGATTTTGAATCACTGCTCTTTGGTAGGCCCTTGGCAATTGACAGAGTGAGTGGTTTACATTTTTGATATAACAAAGACAACTTTTAAAAACAAGCATTACCATTACCAGACCTGCCATGAATACCAACTGTGTGTTTAAGTGTATCTTTACATTGTATTTATTTATAAAGATTAATAGATGCTTCTCATTTGGAGGGTATACCATAATTTTTTGCAGTGAGCTCTTCAGCTGCTCTGTGTGTGTGTCAGTGTAATCTGTTTGCAACCACTGGATGTATGATATATGCCTGTGGAGTATGGTCATTTTGCTGGCCTTTTCAGAAGTCACCTATATAATCCATCTTTTTAATTTTTTTTCTGCTTTGCCTTCCACGTAAAAGGGTCATTTCTAAAGTGTATAGCGTTCTGGGTTTTTTGTGTGTTCTCTCTAATGGTTTGTACTGGGAGATATGGGAAGTGGAGAACAAATTATTTCTTTCTTTTTCCAAGTCTAAGAAGATGTGTTTATTGGGAGGGAAATGGTCTGCTTTTTGGACTTCGTTTTTGTAGTTTTGCAGGCTTTCTTTAGCAAGTAGCTTGCTTTTCTGGTAACAGGGAAGTTTTGTATTAAAACACACTTCGTGACCTGCACAAGTACTTTAAATAATTCATTTATACATATATATTTAATAGCACTGCTTGTCTGATAACTCACAAAAGCAATTAGAACTATGAATCCCATGACTGCTACTGAAATTCAAAAGCTGCTGTTAGAAATCTAATGAGGAGGGCAGACTGTTCACAAGGCATTCTAGATTATCACAGTAGTACAGATTTTAAATGGAAAGCCTGCCTCTGGTGAATCTCTGTGGCTAAACAGCAGTACTGGGTGCCATGAGAGGTACAGCTTAGTCTTCACCACACAGTTACTGTGACCTAATTTTCCTCATATGCTGTATGCTTTGCATTTGTCAATGCTACAAGTAATGAATGGCACATAGTCTCACAGGAGATGCTTGAAGTTTTTACTGTAAGATAAAACAAGAGTGTTTACTCAGTGAAGTAAGAGTGTTTTTATTTTTCTCAAAGGTTATATTTAACTTTCACTTGACAGAATGACAGGAATGGAGATTGAAACTGCAAGAGACAAAGCCATGGATGAAGAAAGCACTGAACAGAAGAAGGAGAGAGAGAAAAAGAAGAGGTCAAGGGTTAAACAAGTGCTTGCAGATATAGCGAAACAAGTTGATTTCTGGTTTGGCGATGTTAATCTCCACAAAGATAGATTTCTTCGAGAACAAATAGAAAAGTCCAGAGATGGATGTAAGTTTATATTCTGTATATTTCAGTAAAAAGATATATCTTTAACTTTCTTCATTGTCTTGCTGGTGATGATTGCAAGTTATTTTGAGGTGCATGCCTACTTGTGGGGAAGACTGGAATCTGGAATTTCATGCTGGAAGTGACTCAGGAGGTGGAGCTTGGTACTAATTTTTTAGAAATTGCATTTAGTATTTCTCTTTTCCTTTCCTTTGCTACCAGCCATAAGTAGGGGCATCTGCAAGGGTAGAAGTGACCCATTGAGAGACATGTTTGGGGTTTTTTTTAACTTTGTATAATTTGAAGAGTAAGCAAACAACCAAGTCATTATGCCCTTGGAAGTACAGTACTTGACTTGTAAGGTAGATGTATGCAGAAATTAAAATGTCACTTGGCTTTGCAGTTAGGTATATATACTTTTTTGTGTTTTCTTCACAAGTTTGATATGTGAGAAATTGTATATTTTCACGTAGGACTACTGGCAGGGCTCTTAGACAATTTTTGACATGGTTCATTTGACTTCAGAGCAGGAGATTGAGCTTGGTTCTGAAACTGTTTGCCAGTTTCTGAAGAAGAAATTAATTTACATGTTAGCTGCAGTGACTAGTATGCTTTTGCTTTAAAAACCAGTACATATGTGGTAAATACAGGCTGTTGGTATAATTGTTCAATTAACTGTGTTATGCCAGGTGGACTAGAGCTGTGGTATGTCTGTAGAAAGAAGTGGTCGTTTTCCATCAAAACAAAAAAAAAAGCAGTTTCCGCAAAAGTTTACTTTTTTTTTCTTAATGAGTTCATATTTATTTGAAATGCAAGTTATTAGTCTAGTTGCATTGTGTGAAACGTCTAGCCTATTTGGTATAGTCCTCAATTATATTGAATTTCATGCCAGTTTTAAAAAAGGACCTTCAGAGGAATAAAATTTACTCTGTTTTCTAGAGGTATTAGAGCTTGGATGTCTAACTTTTTTTATTAAGACTAATACTGCATAACTTTCTGTCAGGGTTTTAGCAGCATGACTCATTGCAACTGAAGTGCAAGCAGAGGCTCTTTTGTGTTGGGAAGGCTGGGATAAACACTTAAGTACTTGAAGGAGAGGCACGTTTTCAATGCAGATTGTTTTTTTGTATTGTAAAACTACATCAGAAAGGGGCTTTTCTTCTTTTCTTTTCAAAGACAATAGTTATCAGTGGGGAGGTAAAAGAACAAAATTCCTTTGATAAAGGTTAGCAGAAAATAAGTATAGGTTTACTGTAAACTTTAATTTTGGTGGTAGAAATTTTCTGTACATCCTGGGCAGCATGCCATATGGTTACCTACTGCAATTATGACTTGCAGATTGTTTTATAAAAATACTAGCTGAATCTTAATGTCAGATTAGAACACGTAACTAATGCATTCTAGATTACCCTGATTTCATCATTTGCACCTTTTTTTATCCTTAGATGTTGACATATCACTTCTTGTTTCTTTCAACAAAATGAAAAAATTGACTACCGATGGAAAATTGATAGCTCGAGCAGTTAAAAGTTCATCTGTTGTAGAGGTATTTAATGTTTCACTCTTTTGTATTTGCCGATACTGGAGTAGTAATGATAGTGGTCTTGAAGTAGTCAATAATCTTAACAGAAAATGCTTGTTCGTTTCTTGTTACTTTTAGTTGGATTTAGAAGGAACTAGAATCAGAAGGCGCCAGCCACTGGGTGAGCAACCAAAGGATGTGGATAGTCGCACAGTCTATGTGGTAAGGTTGTACTTGTACATGCCTCGTGCCTGGAAGAGTGCTCTGTTATTTCTAACTGTGGAAAGGCTTTTAAACTTTCTTGCTGTTAATTCTTTTAAGAGTGCAAAATCCACTGTACATCATCTATGACGATCCAATTGCATAGCATTATTTACTGTATTAAGAACAACTCAAAGTTGTTTTACCAGAATTAGAAGGCAGATTTAGTACAAGAAACGTTTGCATAGACTATAAATGCTAATAGAATTTGATTGTGGGTTTTTTTGTTGTTTTTTTAGGGTTTTTTTGTTTTTTACTCCAAAAGAGAAGGACAGTGTGAAGGAGGCAATATAGATGTACTGGACTTGTAATGCCCATAGAGTGGGGTTAATGTACATGTTTAATGCAGTTAATACTTGTTGTATCAGAAATGTATCTGTGCACTGATATTCTTGTTAGGACTAGGCAAGTGGCTGGCTACTGTTCCTTGTGCAGTGCATGTAAGGGAACTAAAATACGTGAAAGCAGGTAGGCACTGGCAGTGACCATGGCAAGAAAGGGATTAGTTTGGTACACTGCTTTCTTCTGCCAGCTTAAATCATTTTAAATGCTGAGCAAAGAGCGACTTCACCTGCTAGGAAGAAAAGGTGTGCTTTCATTTCGCTATTACAGCTCACTGGGCTTTTCTAGTTAATGTCATTAGAGGAGCAACGCTGGTACCAATAAATATTTACAAATTACATTGGTGTAATCAAAGCTTTAGAATAATAACTTTATTAGTTTTAATAAACAGAAACTGGCTGAGTTTGCAAGATGATAAGGGGTACTCTATAAAAAGTACAAGCTGGTTACAAACTCTGTTACTGCGAGTGCCTCTGGTTTTGTAACTAACATCTTTCTTTTAAGGGCAGAATGTACCCAAATATGACCTAGTCTTATGTTTAGGTGGCCTTTTTTTTTTTAATCCTAGTAGCACGCTATCCTGTAGCTACCTTGATACTGAAATGATTTATTAATTTAAATGAAAATAGCTTGTGCTGCCGGAAAAACTCTGTCAGAGTGGAACAACTATTATCATATCGTTGAGCCACTTAAGCGGTAGCATGGAAAGAGATCTGATGGTTCACTTGTCACTTATGTAAAATCTTGGCATTTTTTTTAATAGAATTGAAGCCAGTGTGGAATTTCCTTTGTGAAGAAAGCTTTATATGGCTAATGTCAACTTAGGCAGCTATTAGCAGCTGAATCTTCCTGCAATTAGTAATTTCAAGCAGGCAGACACCAAGCTTTCTGTGATGAAGGTACATAATAATCATGCCCAAAATGCCAGTCCATCCAGATAAAGAGAAGCTGGATTATTCTCATCATTGCCATTGCGTCCTTTAACAAAAGCCCAGAAAACACTACTAGTTTTTTGAAGTACAATGTGCCAATCATGGTATTTCCCTAACATGGTTACAGAGACTGCTTAGAACTTCTTAAATACATTGTCTGTATCATTTTGGGAAAAGACAGATAACTGGTGTGTTTTGTAAGTTACTGAATTCATAGAGATCTTATTTAGAGAATATGTATCAATCCAGTATCTCCTCTTATTGCTACTACAAAGGGTGGGTTTTTTCCTTTCCAAAGACTGATGTATGAGGTATCTGCTCTTTATACTGGAATTATAGTAATGTTAAACCAAGTTAAATGACAGGTATGTAGTGGTGGGAGTGGAGGAGCAGGAGTAGTCAAAGTGGTGGGTGGTAAGTTTTGTTTCATTCTCGAGAAGGTGAAAGAAAGAATTATGTAAAGCCTCCACTGTGAAGGATTGTCTCTCCAATAGTAGTATGTTTTCTGAATTTCTGCAGGAAGTCAAAGCTTAATTTCTGAACTAAGAATTGAGACTTAAAGATGTGTTTCTTCAAGGAATAGTAACTTCATTGGTTTATATTTGTTACAATTTCATTTAATTTAGGGGGAGTTTTCATTAAATTTATCTGAAATAACCTTATGGTTATTGACTTTTTTATATTCTTTAACATAAACTATACTTTGACATACACTTATTTTGTACTTCTCTCATAATATTTTAAAGCTTGAATTTATACTAAAATTTTCTCGGGCAAAGTTAATGCAAAAATAGTTTTCCACCTGAATGTAATAAATGTTTTCCCATGAGGAAAGCCTTCTAGTGCAGGAACTTGCCATGAAAAAACAAAAATGAAGTATTGCAGACTCTCCATTGTTTAGGCATGAATTTGAGAGTAGGGTTTTTAATGGTGTTCAGTTGGATCTATTTAGAAAATGGTATGATGGGATTTCTCTTTGACTGGTGAAGGGAAGTGTTTAGGAACAGAGACGTGATGTCTGCAAGCTTCTAAAATGCGTTGTTATATTAAGGAGTTCATAGAAATAAAAATCAGACTGTCTCATCCACCAAGCTGGCTAAAAGTTTTTCCTTGTGCTGCATCTGATCAACTAGGCTGTAAGTGCTAACTGCTTAGCTTTAAAATGAATGTCAGCTACCACCAGGAATTTGTCAGTTTGAGTAGTGACTCTACTGACCTACAAGAATTCTTTTTGTGATACGCCGATTACCAACAATAGGGTGATAATTTAAAAAAAAAAATCCTTGTGCTCTGCAGTGCATCGTTTGAGACAACGCAGAATTACATTTGCTCAAAGGTCTTAAATTTACACAGATACTTTGTGTTGCAAAGATGCAGCTGCAGATGAGGCCTTGGTATCTGTCCCAAGAAGATAGACATCTAAATTAAATATAGTGTATTTGTTATAGATGTATGAATTAATCGAGAGAGATACATTTTCAGATCACTGTGTTTACTTTCTGAACACTGATCTCTCAACAAGAATACTTACTGAAATAAAAGAAGTTTCTCAACATTGTCATATCAAACTTAAATATATTTTGTTGTGACAACTTTTTGATTAGAAGATGTGGTAAAACATCAGATACGATGGTAATAGAGCAGTGAAAAAATGACATTTCTCTTTTGTTGGTTTTTTTTTAGGAGCTGCTTCCCAAAAATGTTAACCACAGTTGGATTGAGCGGGTGTTTGGGAAGTGTGGTAATGTAGTTTATGTCAGTATACCCAGGTATAAAACTACTGGCGATCCAAAGGGATTTGCTTTTGTTGAATTTGAAACTAAAGAGCAAGCAGAGAAAGCTATTGAGGTGAGTAATGGTGCCTCTGGTCTGTTAACATTCTTCCTCTTTGTCACTCTGTGATGTGGATGGTGTAATCTTTGCTAGTTCACCTGCTGAATCTTAGAGAAATTCCTAATATATCATAATTTTAAAACTTAGCAGATGTTATGTTTCTGTCTCCTACCCCTAATCCTCTAATCAATTGCACAATTCTTTGAATGTGTAATCCTTTTAATAACCTAGAGATGTAGTAGAAGCATAGTGGGTATTTTTGGAATAATTTGGCCATTCTTGGTATCTTTTATGAAGTGAGATCTTTGTGTAACAGCACAATGGCCTATTAAATTTCATCAGACAAGCATGGTCATACCTAATTTTGTGTATTTAAATATGATTTTAAAGTTGAAAAGCATTTATGTTTTAATATCATAATGGTAATAGAGGCATAAAGATGTCACACTAGTAATGTTAAAGAAAGCAAGCTCTGCACTTTCAAAGCAAACCTGAGCAACAACAAAAACTCCCAAACAACCACCACATGATTGAAAGTACAGAAAGAACTCTGTATGCCTCTGGAGTAATGGGAGACTTCATCATTCCTGAATAAATATAGCACTGCTGCTGGTTTTAACTTGGATGGAGATGCTTTAAACAAGAAAACATAATTTTTAGTAATGTTTTGTGGATTTTATTTTTTTAAAGTTTTTGAATAATCCACCAGAAGAAGCGCCACGGAAACCTGGGATTTTCCCCAAAACAGTAAAGAATAAGCCTGTCCCTGCACTGAATGCAAGTAACAGCACTGTAGTAGGTAAGTGTTAGTAAATTATTGGGGTCAAGAAACAAAGTGGTTTATGCCTCAGCTTCTGAAGAGAAAATTTTGAACAGCTGTGTTACTGCAGTCTAATTTCATGCTTCTTAAAAACCTCATAAAGTAAAACTGTGTTGCTGTTTCTTTTGTTGGTCAGTGTAGGCTTAAGAATGAAATTGTAAAACTAAAATATAGTAAATTTCTGCCTTTCCATTTTCCTGCTTGATAAGGAACTTAATTTCTTTTCCTATGTTGCCAGCTGCCACCATTAGTCATTGTTATGCTAGCAGAACAGCTTTCAGACTGTACAATAAATCATTATCTAAGCCCTTGGCATTAGCAAAAGACAAGTTTGATAGAGGTTTTTTAAAAAATATTTATTATTGAAAAGAAAGATACAGACCTAGGAGCAAAATTATACTGAAATGTTAAGTGCTGTTCAGATGAGTTTCTGATCATCTGACATTTCAGAGCAAACCGTGATTCTTCTCTCTGCTGAAACTTTCTGAGAGAACGATGAAATGAAATGAAAGAAACCTTTCTTCCTCTTTGAAACTCTTGCTATTTGAGCAGAGCAGTCTAAAGCAGAATGAACTTTTTACAGCATATTTACAATTCCACTTTACACGATTCTTAATTACTCAAAATATAAAAGAATCCTGAATTCACAGTGGACCATATTTTCAATAAATACCATCCACTTGCAGGTACCATCACAGGATTGTTTTGCAACTTTGATCACTGAAACATTTTTCCTTGTTTCTGGTGACTTAATACAATTTCCCGTACTTCAGACACTTCCCGTCTTCTGAGCGTAATGACAAATCATATGTTATATTCCTCACTGTTATCACTAATTCTTTGTTATGCCAGTAACTATTGGGACAAAAAAAAAAAAAATCCAAGAATAAACATGCTTTTTAAACCATGCTTTGAATGCACCTAAGGTATTCTCTGCTGTTCCATACTGCATCCTGCCTAGGGCAATTTTGAAGCAAGTAGACAGTATTGAATTTTTTTTTTTCAGTTTGGTTAAGTTAACATTCTTTAATTTAGTAGGCAAGTAGTTGTTCATTACTAAATGGTGTGATAGATTCACTGGGCTGAGTATCTCCTTTTATTCTCAGAATACAAACCACCAGTCTTTTTTTATTTTCTTGTCTTTGTTGTTTGGCCTGGAAAGAGGAAGGTGTCTCTTCTCAAAGGCGAGTAAGGGATGACATAACAAATTCTGCATGTGTAAAGAAGCAGCAAAAGGAGTCTAGCTCCTTTCTTTTTAGCTTTCTTTTTTTCTTGCTTTAAATGCCTAGGAAGAACTTTGGGACAATGTATCGCATCTTTCCTGTAGAGATGCCGGAGACAGGCATTTAACATCCCAGATTATCCAGACATATTTGGTATCATGATTACTTAGGTCAGTTAATCTAATCTAGTTTTTAATCAGTGTCAGTTTTAAATATTGTATTTTTAACACAGAAGAGAAGAAAAAGAAGAAAAAAAAGAAATCCAAAATCAAGAAAGAGAGCAATGTACAGGCAGCCGTAGAGACAAAGGAATCAAACATGAACACTACAAGAGAGCAAGTACCCAAGTCAAAAAGACACAGGACTTCATCCGAGTGTTCAGAAATGGAGGGAATTGAGACTCACAGGCAGCCCTCAAAGAGAGAGAAGAGAAAATGGGACAGAACAGAAAGCTCAGAGGTACCTTGGGAAAGCAGGCCGGGGAAAAGAAAAAGAACCAGCTCTGGAGATGGTGAGACATCAACTCCAAAAATCAAGAAAACTGTTCAAAAGGATGAAGTTTGTCCTGTAAAAGAGGAAAAAACAGAACCTCCGAAGGTTTCCAATGGTAAAGTTTGTTGCATGTATTTTTAGTATTGTCATTGTTTATATGCATGAATGAAATCAAATGGCAGAAGTATCTCTTAGAGCTAACAAATGGTAGGTTTAGTAATGAGGGAGAAATCCAGATAAGGAGAAAAGCTGGAGTTAAAGAAACCACATTTTTGCAGTTGAAATTGTAGTGGCCTAAGTAAATGGGAATTTTGATATGCTAGAGGGTAACAACCCCATGAGATGGCTGGAAAGCAACAAGAAATATAACAAGTGTAGTCTGTAATACAAATACATTAGTGAACTGACTTGGAAGCTAATAGGTTTATTACTTGAATTCAAGGTTATTGAGTAAATCTTTCAAGTGCTGGTGAAAGATTCAAACCTTGAATTTCTGGTAAAATGTTGTTCTGCTTGGGTCAGTAAGTGAAGAATGGGTGATATGGTGGAGGCATAACAAAGGTCAGTTTAGGAATATGTGGAGTTCCCTGCAGTTAAGTTTAAACCTGGCAATGACTCATTCCAATGAGATAAGCCGCATGGAGAATATGAAAGAACTTTCAACACTGAAGTGGGTAAATCTCATCAGAAGTAAAAATACTTCACAAAGAAGTTAATAGAGCTTCACTGAAGTAAAGTATGGATTAAACAGCCTAGGCAAATGGCGACAGTATAAGAATCTAGATAAGTAAGATTAAAATACAAAAGAAAAAGCTGATGATCCCAGTCTCTTACATGAGATAAGAGGGGAAAAAAGCAATAGAGGGGATTAAAAGCTGCTTTGAAACCACATTTGGGTTGACAAGAATCTATGATTAGAGGCTAGACTTGGGTAGTTGAGAAAGTGGACTAGAAGTAGGTAGTAGGCTCTCATTTTTCTGAGTTTTCATTCAGATTTGAATCAAATAACCAATGTTTGTTAAGCTTTTCTTGATAATGAAGTAAATAATACTATGTCATATTATGGAAATATAGGTATTATAAATACAACCTGAATAAATATTTAAGTATTTGTCAATGTAATGTTAGAACTAAACATTTTTCATTTGGACTTTTTTCGTGTAGAGGTGTCTGCAGAAGATGAGAAAGATGGTGATAAAAAAGACACATCCCTTTCAAAATCTAAAAGGAAACATAAGAAAAAACACAAAGAAAGACACAAAATGGGTGAAGAAGTCATTCCACTCAGAGTGCTCTCCAAGTAGGTTATGAAAGAAACTAACGTATGTGACTAGCTTATAATTCCCGGTGGATGGGGAGGTGCTTATAGCCTTTTGGTGGCTTGAGTGTTTTACTGAGCTAAACTGAATTTTTCTCAGCAGTACTGGGAATTCATTTGCTTGCATGATGGACTGGCACAACAAAAAGCTGCCACCTTAAAGGGGTGTCTACATTAGAAAAAATGTTAGTCGGGAAACATTTGCTCACATTAAGCTCATAGGTTTTATATATACTGTGTTTTTTATCTGTCTGTACAGGGTCTCTTGGCATTACAATTTGCATTTAGGTTTTTCTTTGTTACAATTTTAACTGCAAAAGGCAGCAGGGGGCAGTCATTTTGACCTAATGGCACATTTTTTCTGAATCTCTTGTTGCTTTGTGGTACCCCATTTTTAAGTGTGTTTTTAAATGCTTTCCTAGAGTGCGGTTCAGCTATTGCCATTTTCAAGTGGTTTTTAAATGTTTTCAGAGAGTGCAGTTGGCAACAGGAAATTTTCTCAAAAGTCACACGTTCTGCATACTTTATTGAATTTTATTACTTAACAGGCTCATATACAATGATTTCACAGTGTTTGCAGCTGTTGGAAATTTTCAGCCTTTTTGGTCTCACAGTTTGAATATTTAAGTCTTTGTATAGTCTAACAGTCCATCACCATTGCTAAAGTGCAATTCCAATTTTTATAGAACAGAGTTGCATATTAGCAACAGTATTAGCCTGTAGCTGAAAAGGTTCAAATACCCAAGTTTCCAAGTCTGACTCAAATCCACCAATTTACATGTGGTTCCTCAGTTTATATATTCACAAAAATATGCTTCTGTTGGGCTTTTAGGAGTCACCACAACTAAAACATGGAAGCACTTACTTTTTAGGCATCCAGCAAGTACCTCCATGTTAAAGTAGAGGGGGTCCTTCCCATCTTGTGCTGTACCATGATGCAGAGTTGGGTCTTGTGCTTTATGGTGAACAGGGAGGCCACACATGTGCAGTGCAAATACATCAACAGTGTAGAAAAAAAATTATCTACAGGTGCTTGATGTTGTAGGACAAAAATGAAATCTGTAGGACTTGGAAAATTTCATTGCTGTGCAGTAAGCAGTTTAGATCCTTCATTGCATGTTAACGTTGTGTGACAAATCTGTTTTTATGTATTTCCTGGGAAGAGAGAAGTGCTTTCAGTTGACAAAAAAGGATTCACCATCACTAAAACATGGAAGCACTTACTTTTCAGGAGCAAAGCAAGTACATCCACATTAAAGTTGTGGAGGTCCTTAAGATGGGAATGCATTATTTACCAAAAATTAATAAATTCTGCAGACTTCTGATAATGCAACAAATTAAAATATTACTGCAAGTAGGCTCAATAAATGCATTTAAGAACATGAGGATCCACCGCCACTGAAACATGGAAGCACTTACTTTTTTAGGCAGCAGGTACCTCCATGTTAAAGCGAAGGGAGTCCCATTAAAATTTAAAAAAAATTTTTTGAACATACAGGCCACTGAAAAATACTTTATACTTTTAGTTCTTGTTGGGGAAGCATGCATTCCATCTGCTTACTGCCAAAGTTCTTAATTTCTTTTCCTGGATCTAAAAATTTTGTGACTGAAGTACTGACAAAAACCCAAAAAATCCTGGATGGTATTTCAGTATTGCGATCAGGATTCACCTCTACTAAAACATGGAAGCACTTACTTTTTTTAAGTCACAGAAAGCACCTCCATGTTAAAGTAAAAGGGGTCCACAAAAAACAGTAGTTATCAACGATGCTTGTCCTCTTCCACCGAGATTCTGAGACTACTGCATCAACAGAGAAAGAGTTTTAAATTTTAGTCAATTTTAACAAAGGAAAAAGACTTTGTAAGAGCATAAGCATTGCAAATACTTGCCTGGCTCATTCCATTCCGCATGGTCTTCTCTTCCTTCCAGTCACGTTAACAAGAAGTACCTCCTTGAGCTTGTATTTATACCATACCTTGCACTGGAATGGTGTTGCCTTTTTATCTCAAAGAATCATTACGTGGGTCTTTTGTTATTTTAATGTCTTTGCTCTGTTGAGAATGTATGATCCTCAGTGAGTCTGGATGCTTTTTTGAAGTACACAGTTGTCAATGTTAACAGCTAAAACCATTACCACAAGATATCCTCCTCTTTAAAAATCCTCTATCAGCTTGTTTGATAGCACAGATTAGGGTAACAATGAGTCGTTCTCACAGTGGCACTATAGGCATTGTGTTTCTGTGGAGCAAAGCTCTAGCTGTTTGCAGAAACATCTCCATGTTAAATGTATGTAAATATATAAATTGCTTCCATGTGGTGGTATTTTTTAACCAAAATGCATTTGAATTGTAAGGAATGTTCTTATCTCAGTAGGTTTTTGGTGAGTTTAACCAGTTGTTGATTTTCCATCAATGATTTTTCTAGAAAATGACTGGTTCTTAATATAGTAACACAGGAGTAGGTTCACTGAACTAATTCAGTGAATCAGAGTTCACTGTCTCTGAATTTAGTGTCTGTGGTCTGTAGTTCCAGTAGAAAACAGTTTACCAAGCTGTTCTATATATTTTCTGAATATATAAAACAAATTTGGGGATCACCCTATTTGAATTATAGGTTGTTCTTCTTGGAACTTGACTGGAATATTAAAAGCTAAAGAAAAATAAGAAAAAAAGCAGATACTGACAAGGTTTAATTTGACCTAAGTGCAGGGAGATCTCTAATGGTAGGAAGGGTCTGCACTGCTCACCAAGTTCACCTTAAGCTATTTGTAAACTGTTTTGTCTTATCATTGAGTTTCTAGACATTATTTTCTTGTTTACAACTGACATCCTATTCCTGTGTTGCCACTTACAGGACTGAATGGATGGATTTGAAGCAAGAATATTTGGCCCTTCAGAAAGCCAGTATGGCCTCCTTAAAGAAAACAATGTCTCAAATCAAACCTGAGCCTGTAGGAGAGATGGAAATGGACTCTTGTGCACAGAAAAAGCCTCAGTCTAAAAATGGCAAGCGTAATCCTGTTTGTGATGTTTTATGTCTTCTTTTCTTTGTGATTCTAGTACAGAAACAGTGATGTAAGACACTGGTCCTCCAGAAACACTGCAAAATGGTTTTATTTTCTATAATGCTGGTGTTTTCTCTAAATGACAAATATTATTAAAAGCAAAACCCCTTCATTTAGATAGACTTGTGACTTATGAATTGCAAGAACAAGTTATTAAGCATATTCTGGTAGCTCTTGCAGAGCTAAGTCAAGGATCAGCCTTTTTGATGATGTAACTTGGGCCTGATTTGCTTAGGCTTAACTATATGTGCAGCGATTAATCAAACTATTTCTTGAAGTATGGCATTCAAAAAATTGCTTGAAACTGGGTTTTATCAACTTTATGGTTAAAAGTAGCTTTGTAATTATGTCATTTTAGTTCAATTTCTATATTTTTTTTTTCAGAGACAGAATTGCTCTGGATTGCTCTGTGCATCTCTTCACTAACTTAGATACTGACATTTCAATGCCTGCCTGCTTATTTTTGGTCACTCTAGAACTGAGGGTTCAGCTATTAACTGTAATCAGTAGAATATAAAATATTCTTGTAAGGAAACCCTGTAGACTGTAAAAACTTCTCTAAGACTCTTCTTGGACATATTTTCTTTTTTTGTTACTCAACATTGAGTTTAAATGGTGATTTTTGTTTTGATCCTAGATTAAAAAAGAAAAAGACAATCTCCAGTAGCAATACTTGATGTCCCTTGTTCCATTTCTTGTGTGCGTCATGTTGCTTATCTGTTTTCATAGCATCTTTAGCTTGTCAAACTAATAAATGTAAAAAATTTTTCCTTTTTTTTTCCATCCCCCTCTTTTCAAATTGACCAGCCACCAGTGAAGATTCTGCCCCTCCTGCCAGGGCTAACACAATGGGGCCCCAGTTCGTGAGTGGAGTAATTGTGAAGATCATTAGCACTGAGCCCCTGCCGGGCAGGAAGCAGATCAAGGTAATGCCTTTGTAACCTCAGGGTAGCTGTTAGCCTTTCCTCTTACAGTGCCCCCAAAATGTTTGAATATGGAATACCATTTAAACAAGTCTTACTGATTTTTTTGTTTGTTTGTTTGGCCAGTAGCTGTGTACAGATTCTTCTCTAGTACCTGTTAATGGAAGATTTTACAACGGCAAAAGAGTAAAGGGGATGTTTCAAAGCAAAAAGTAGCCTTGAGTGCTTCAGGCAATGTCAAGTTTACAATGAAAATAATGACGAAAATAAATAATGCTGTAGAGGACGAGTAGTTCTCTCCTCCGTCTCCAGCCCCTGTTACTGTGTATTTGCATTTTCAGTGTGAAAAACATGGTTAATTTGATATTGTTAAAAGTAAATGACTGCTAAAATCAAATTTACAGTTTAAAAAGATAATGTGCAATGTCCTTTGTTATTGTTACAGTCATTCCCTCACAATTCAGGTAAATAAATCTGTAATGGTATATTAGGGTTTTTACTATTAACAGGAATTTGGGGGTGAGGAAATGATCTTAGCATAAGAAAACAATTGTTGGGTTTTTTTTTCCAGTAAGAAATTCACAATTAAAAAAACCTCCGGTTCAGTGAGAGTGACAGCAGTAGAACTTGTCCAGTAATTCATTTGCCCATTTATTTTCTTTTTTTTTCTTATGGCAAGTGCTGTTTTTTCTCAATTTTAAAGTGTGTAGAATAACTTCAATTTGGTGTCATGTCATGATATGAAAGATGCATGTGTTAAGTAGAATATTTAATTTTAAGGTAAATAGAGTTTTAAGCTGCATCATTTTGAAATTGAAATATTAAAAGTTTTCCAAAGGAAATAAAAGGCTTTTATTAAGCATTTATTCAGATACTGAATTGTTCATGAATGTGACACATGAGTTTTTCTTTCACAAATTGCACTCTTGGATGAATAACAACTGAAAAGCATTTGAACAACTTTGATTCATGTTGGAATGAATATTGAGACTCCTTAGGACACTGAGGGAATGATTCGGATTGATAAGTCATCTCTGAACTCACTAACTACCTATGTTTATAACTGACTAGTCCATTTGAAGTCACTGGCTGCTTGCAAGTGTGTGAAGTTTAGTGTGTGCATGAATCTAAGCAAGATGGGAGACATCTCTCTCACTGAAAACAAACTGGTGATAGGGTTTCAACTTGATCAGTCTTATCTGCCTAGGGATAGTAGTAGGCAGTTGTCTGAGTGGTGAAGACACTGAGAGAATGTAGTTGTCACTGTAAGGGTTGAAGGAGGGCCCCTCTGAATGTGGTAAACACCTTACTGTGTTGTGTCAGAACTGAATGTATTGTGGTCGGGGTAAACTTACTGTTCCTGCAGTAGCTGAAAACAAACTTAGTTTGGTATTTCCAGGTACATGAAGTTGTTATTTTGGTTTAGTTTTGGGGAAGTATTTCAGGGATAACGATATACTTTGTGGAGGTAAAGGGGGACAAAATAAGGCTGGCCTTTGCCGTTATAAGTCATGTCTTTGGTTCCAACAACAAGTAGTTAGGAAAAATATTTCATAAAATTTTAGCAAACAAATAGGGCAGTGTTTTAAGGAAGAAATATAATTGCAGAATACAACTGCAGTTGGAAGAAGCAATAATCTAAAGGGTGCACCAGCTCTTTCTTGGGTCAGCAGTGGAAGCTGAAAACTACTTGCCACTTACTGGATTTTTCTGGCTATACTAGTTGCTTTTATGAAAGTATATTTCTGGTAAAATTTCACTTTGCCTGTGTTTCTAGACTGTCATAGCTATAGCAAACACTGCCACAAAGCAATCCATTTAGGGGGTTTTAATTAATAAACTTCCAGCATTGATCTGTGTTTCTGGTTGTGTGGCATGTGTAACTACTCTACACGCTGGAAAGGTATTTGCTGAGTAGTTTTAATATTATTTTGATGCTTTAACCTTTTTTACTTCACTGTATCCAAATTTAGCTATTGAGGTGCTTCTCAGAGATCGTGACATTTGCCAACTCCAGTAAACTGTTTGGGTCGTTGTAGTTTTCCATGTAAGCATGACTTTGGGAAACCAGAATTAAGAGTGGAAAGTAGCTTTGGTTGGCTCTCAAATTATCTCAGCAATACTGGCACTTTTGTTTTAAGGCTGTCCTTGGTAGTGGAGGGTTAAAAGCAGTGTGCAATTCTTGAATAGAAGCATCTTGAACTTCCTGCTGTGAACTAAATTGACTAGGAATGTGGGGTCTTAGTTAATTTCCCTAACAGCAGGTATTACAAGTGAAGTACTTCATCTGAAAGAGCATGTGTGATCCTTCTTCCTTCAGCCATTAGTGAAATTTTTCAGCCAGAGGTCACTTCATAAAGATAGGAAGGGTTGGTTTACTGTTACTCATTTCTCAGTCTGCCATGAATGAGCTTGCTTTTATATATTTCATGCATAGAATGAAGTTAGATATTTTTCTGTTGGACCAATGTATATCAATGTTCTAGTACACTGATTGTTTTTATTTTTTAAAAAAGGTTCATACAGATACAGTATTGAAATATATGGACAATTACTGATGCTCCATTAGTAAAATTATTCTTATGCAAAAACTTAACATCTTCAGGAATTACTGCTTTAAATTGTTCCTGGAGGGCAGGATGAGAGATAAATAGATGGTTTTAAGCTGTAGGGTCATAAATCAGAATTCAGTTATAACTTTCTCATGAAAATATATTAGTTCAAAACTATTCAACAAGCGATTCATTGATTAAATTAAAAAGCTGTTTTCTTCTACTTCATGACCTTTTCAAAAATGTTAATGATCTACAAATTGATTGGTCAAAAAGTAGCTCTTTTTATATTATTTTTTTGAAATCTGGTTTATGGTCTGTGTTCTCTCATGTGCTTTGATAGGATGCTTTGGCCGTGCTGGCTGATGTTGCTTATGTTGACATGCTGGAGGGAGACACAGAATGTCATGTCCGTTTTAAAACTCCTGAGGCTGCACAGATTGTCATGAAATCATACAAAGAAATACAGATCAAAAACAACTGGAAATTCGAAGTTCTCACTGGTAAGACTTTTTTTTTTTTTAAATGGTAGTACAGGAGAAGACTTAAGTATTGTGAAAAGGATTGTATTGCATGGTAACTTTGTGGATATGTTTAGGTATCCTGGTAGCTGGGGGAAAGACTGCATTTCATTTTTTTCCGATGTTATTCTCATTTTGCTGTTATAATTAAATTGGTAAAATGGCAAGGGTTTTTATACCACTGGTTAGAGCAAAATGATTTTGCTTGCCTTTATCAACTTCATTCTATTCTTTTGAGATTGATTTACATCACTTCTAGTGGCAGTGGGCTGTAGAACTTAATTCACATTTCAGCTTTATGAATATAACATTCTGATGACACAAAAGAATTTTAAGTGAAGATTTTCTTGAAAATACTGAACTTATGTGTGAAATAACATTACAAAAATCTAACAGCATGGATACACTTACAGTGGTTTTAGCACTTGCCTTCTAATTAATCTTTCTTTTATTCAGGAAGTTGAATAACTTATGCCAGAGTCATGCCTTTTTTTAACTGTATTTACACTAAGATTTTTGCTGGCTTACTTTGGAACTTTAATGTGGTTTTTTTTTTTTCTGAAATGACTCTGGTTTTCTAAATTCATGTCTTGCACTAGATTTGACTCTTCCAAGTGCAGAGAAACTTCTTTATGGAAGTGAGGGGGTAGAATAAGAAGGGAGGGGGAAAGTCTCTCAAATTTTGTTACTGTATTCATAAAACCATTAATTTCCAGATATGCACTAAAAATTCTAAATGCTCAAAAAGCAGATAAAAAAAATCTAGATGGGATTCTCTCATCTATATATTTAAATATTTTACCACACTCCTGCACAGGTCCTCACATAGGGCTCAGCTCCATGCATGCAGGGATGTAAACCCACATAAATGTCAGTTAAGGATTGCAGATGGAAGAGCTATAATGGAAGCATTAACCTTCATGATGATGTAAAGGTTAATTAAAGTTTGAGACTCACTGAATGCTGCTAATGTTATTTTGAGATAAATTTGTCTCCAGAGTGTTCGGTGTTCCAGAGATCCAGAAACAACTTGAAATATGGCATTTTACAGCTGTGCTCTGTGTGTATTTGTCACTGGTTTTGTGTCCTTATATAAAAAAGTGCACTAGTAGATCGGGGGTAAGTACTACATTATCGGATAGTTCCATTCATAGTCTTAAGATTTTTTTCAAAGTGGTTCATTGAAATGGAAAGGCTTGTGAAGAATGCAGAAGTGACTCACAGTAAGCATTTCAGCTTTTCTTGGTGTAAGGTGAACACAAAGAGCAAGAATAAGGAAAGAATCTTAGATTCCTACTACAGGGACTAAAGCTTTCCCTTTTTTAGAACTTGACTTTGACTAAATGTCTTCAGCTTTTAATCTGACAAAATATTAAACATCTATGGCAATGTTTAGATGTTATCAAGGTTGAATGTGTAAGTAATGCTGTTAAAATGTATGCAAAATTGGTTCTCAGAATTATTAATTCCATAACTTTTGCAGGAATCTTTTCCAACATTGCTTGGAAACTTCCCTGTAACCGAAGGCTTCTCATGAGACCACAAAATATTACATAACAAAATTCCCATCATGATAGTTAACAGCATAAATCAGAGGAAGCTGTGGCAAACTGCTTCTTACTGCAAAACAGCCACTGAAAAAAACCTGCAAAATTTTTTGCTATCATATTACCCCAATGTTCAAAACTGCCCACAAAGTACCCCAAGTTTGCTTCTAACAACAGTTTTGATGAAACAAAATAATCTCATCATTCTTACAGTATGTTTTTTTCTGTTTGATAGTTGTTTAAAATTAGCCAGAGGCTGAGTACATCAGTAGATCAAGGGGCCTTTGAGTGCTATAGTGAAACTCTAGCTAAAACTGAGCTCCTGCTAATTCCATGTGGAGAGTGGTGTTTGCATACTTCCTCTGTTCTTTTTAAGTTTGTAAAACTACTTGCTGAGGAAAGCTTAGTTAGATACCTTGGCAATCCAGTCCTAAAGTTAATAAAATGCATAGGACCTTGATTCAGGTCCTGTCCAGCTTGTGCAGAACAGAGACCTCAATGTCAGCTTTAAGCTCCTTTGGACAGAGTTGTTCTTTTCTTTGTTCACCTCGGTGTGTGCTGGTCAGATGTTGCAATGCTGTATGACTTCTCTGACTATGGAATTTAAGACTAATGGGGAAACACTTGTTAGGTTTCCCTAACAGGTATTTTCACATGTATTTACCTTAGCTGTAAAAATTTCTTCCTCATCACAGCTGAAAACACTGCATCCTCTTGTATTGAATATTTTTAATCTTGTATTGTAATATTAATTTGCTTTTCAAGGTGATCATGAACAACGTTACTGGCAGAAGATTTTAGTGGACAGACAAGCTAAACTTAACCAGCCTCGAGAAAAGAAGCGGGGTACTGAAAAGGTAACTTGCAAATCAGGTTATTTTCCTATATGGCCATACTTGAAAAATATGATTGCCTATGTAGGTCTACATTTTTTTTATACTTTAACGTTTGGTTCTGTTTTTAATCCACTTAAATCACTTTCTACTGACTTTGCAGCAGGGTTTTGCAGCCACAAAATAGAGAACATGTGGCTATCCTGGAAATTACCAAATCCAAGGCTTGTCTTTATGGAGGCAGAGAAAGTTAAGGCCATGACTAGAGGCATGAAGTTAATTTGTGAGCTGGATTTCCATTAAAACCCTGTCTGGATGAGGTCATTAAAAAGTTAAGTAGTCTTGATTTGCTCTAGCTTAGCTCTCTAGCATGATTCTTCAGAATGAATCTCTCACAATTTACACAATTTTTTTTAACATGCGGTTCTGTGCTATGGTGAACACTGGTGTGTTCCTAGTGTAGTCAAGAGTCTGTGCAACAGCGTGTCTGTCTCCTGATCCAGACAAATCTGAATGCTGCTACCAGCGTCCGTAGCTGAGCAGCTTCCACAGCAAAACGGCCTCACATCTCGTGAACTTGGAGCACACACAGGGACCTTGCGTCTGCCTGCTCTTGCTCTGTCAAACTGTTATTCTTACTATCTGTAGCACTGCAGTGCAATTTTACTCAAGTGTTCATCTGAAATAGCTTTCCAGTCTTGACCTTGGGCTGCCTGTCAGGCCACAGGGTTGAGGGAGTGTTGCAATGAACTTACCGGCTGCATTTTCCACTCCTGCCCCAGAAAACCCTTCCAGGCATGAAGGGTTCTTGATTAGGACAGTCAGATCCTTTACCTGACAGAGAGTAGCCAAAGAATATTTCAGACATTTTGTCGCAAGGTTTACTTCACACACATTGCAAATAAGGTTTCCATGTTGGCTTTAACCTGAAACTTTATGCTCTTGCCTGCAAAACTGCAAAATCATCTGACCTTATTTTTTTTTTTCTGGTGACTTTGGAGATTTGCTGTAATTTTGGTTTCCTAGACGCTCCAGTGATGCACACAATGCAAAAAATGTCCTAGTTGTTCCATATATAGTTGAAAAGAAATATTACATTAAGCTAAAGAAACAGCAATTATACAGGTCAAAACCTTGTCTTGACAAGGCATATTTTGCATGTATTATCTTGTTTGTCTAAATGTTCTTTCAGAGATCCCCTAGACAGATGAATCTAGTTCTTTTTAAACAAAGATATGCATCCATAATTTCCCCAAATGACTGATTTAATTTTCTTTAAGGCATAAAAATAGCATTGGCTCTAACCATTATTCTTATAAGCAGTAACAGAATGTGAAAACCGCATTTAGAGCCTTTTACTGACTGCTGACACGTTTTTTCTGGTTTTTTTTTTTAAGTGTACTTTTACTTTTTCAAACAAAAGGTTCTGGTAGCACCTTTGACTTGAATTTGGACTGTAGGTGCCCTACTCTCAAGTTTCTATTCTTCATCTTTTGAAGATTGGCATTTGTTGACCAAACTGGTGTAAATTGGCCAGTAAGGTACCTCATCTAAGCTTGCAAATATAAACTGTCTCAGTTCTGACTAACAATAGCAGCAGCAAGGATGCAAACTCCTGCTCCCTCCCCCTTACCCATCACCTTGCAACACTGAGAGGTGTTAACTTCAAAGCTTAGTGAATACTATTTAAATGCTAACACTGTTAAGCAAAACCTCAAGAAAAGAATGCCTCACTGTGGTCAATAACCCTTAACCCTATGGTTACTTTTTGACAGTCTGTATTCCAGAAATATTCAGTATTTCAGAAATACAGCCTGATAATAAGAAAACCGGTGTTACTTTCTCTGTTCATTAATATTAATATTAATATTTTATTCGAAAGTTCTCCTGAAGAACTCCCAAGTTGACTTATTTGAAGGTTGCAATAAAAGGAAGGAAAAAAGTAATATAATAATTCATAATTAAACACATACTGCGGAATATTCCATTAGTGTATCTTTCTTGTAAACATTGTTAAAGGCTCTAAAATCCCTTACAAGATATCTCTTTGAGTATTTGCCTGTTAGCTGTTTTATATTTATACTAAAGACAGCATCTTATACTTAATTACTGTTTAAATGTAGGCTTAAAAGTTACATTCATACAAGCTATTATAGCTGCAGTCATGTCAACGTGAGTGTTTGTAGTAATAATGATGTGAATAATCTATAATGTTGTTGTCTAGACAGCATCACATTACAGGCAGTACCCAGTGACAGAGCACAGAGATCCTTTTGAGTGTAACTTTAGACAGTTTGAGATTCCTCTTTACCATGTGTTCTAAAAAGCTTGCTTGGCTTTCCTGCAATGGGTCCTGTGGCATGCCAGGATGAGGGTTAATGATCAATTCAGCAGAGGGTTTCTGGGGTAATGCCTCCCCCCCAGAAGAAAAGTGGTAGAGATTTTACTTTCTATGGGATAGTTCTTATAATAAACGAAATGTCTGAAAAACACTAGCTATCCCAAGGCTCCCCAGAACTTGCGACTTAAAGCCTAGCCATGCTTTGGAGTTAAAAAGGTATTCAGTGTCAGGCTTTGCCCCCAAGCCTGCTCGTTCATTGTCACCTCCGTGCTCCCCTCTGCTGCCCCTTCCAAATACGGGTTCTCATTAGCCTGTTGTTCAACTGCATAATAGAACAGCCTTAGTGATTTAGTGATACAGATTAAAAACCTTCCCAGAATTGCTTCTTTAGGGCAGTGCCATTTTACATAGACCTAAAGCAATTTATCAGTCTGTAGCCTTAAACTGTTGGTACTGATTAAAGTCTCCTGTTCACAAAGCAAGGGCATGAGTGCCTGCAAGCTTTCCACCTGGGTACTTGTCGTCTGGGGGAGGTGCTGCTGAGCTTAGTTTACACCTCGTACACCCCCTTACATAGAAGGAAAGAAGATGTTTAAGAGGGTGGAGTGGTGGTAGAAGTGAAAGGCACTTGGGGGGGAAGTGAGAACTGGGTATTTGGGAAGGGCTGAATCATTTGCAGAATATATGGGAAAGGAGGATGGTGTGCCTGGGCACAGCCCACGCTGTTATCTTCTGATTATGCCTGGGGCTCGCGGGCTGTGTCCTTGCAAGACAGACCAGTTCCCTATCTGTACACCATTGGGGAGAGGTCCCACTCCAGAGCACAAATAAGTTCCTTTCCCTGGTTCTCTGAAGCTGGTGTCTATGGAAGGGCTGGGTATGTGTTTTGGAAAAAATGAACAAGAAATGTTGAAAATTATCAGGTTAGTTATGTTCCACAAGAGTATTTCTTGTACCTCTGTACTGGGAGCACCTAACTTTCTCATTAGCCAAGAGATGGCATTTATTTTCTGTAGGGCACTAGTGACTGCACATTTATGCTCTGAAATAAATACGTGAAAGAGAAACAAACCAAAGATAAACTGGTGAGATTATCCAAATTATAGGGTTTTTTCTTTCCAGTTGTTTTGTGTTTTTTAAACTTTTTTTAATGGTCTGACCTTGTTTTTCTTACACCAGTAACAGCATGAATCTAAGAAGAGTAAGGTTTTTTAAACTTCGTGTATGAGACTGTTTTGGGATTTTTTAAGTTGTAATTTTGTTCTCTTTGTGTTGTGAGGAAGAAGGAATGGAATGAAAGATACAGCTCTGTCCAGAGACTGAAGAGATGCTATGTGGTTTTTTTTTATGGTTCTTGAGGCAATACCAAAAATTATATCGGCCTGCTTTAACTTTTCTGACAGCTGTACAGGTTAGCTCAGCTGTTCAAAGATTTAGCCTTTTCTTATGAAGTCTGGGAAGTCAGTGAATATTATATTGACGATTGTGAGATAAAATCGTAACCATGGAATTTTCCTCTAATCTTTTCTACAATATTTTTCCTGTTTGCAGTTGATTGCTAAGGCTGAGAGGATGAGGCTTGAAAAGACTCAACAGACAAGTAAACATATTCGTTTCACTGAAGATAACTAACCAAGACTGATTGTGATTTTGAGAGTGAACTAGGTATTTAAAGAAACCCAACGAAAACCAAACCCCACAAACACCACTGCTGACAGCAACTAAACTGCTTTTTAAGAAGCCATCAAAAACTGGTCCATTTAATTCATAATTCTGCAGACTGCAAGTATGAAGATTGTTCTGAATCCCATTTTTAAATAGGCTGAATGTTTACTGCTTCTGAGCCTTTAGGTAATGCTTTCTGGAAAAAAATGTATTAAGAGATCTTGCTTTAGTTCACTTTTGTTTTGTTTTGGGTTTTTTTTTTGTATGTTGAAGTTTTATACACTAGGTTATGAAATAAAATGCTTGAAAAAAATTTAGTTGTGTATTTCTAATTCTTCGGTCTGTTTTATGACACTGCAAGTGATAAAACTGGTTAATGCTAAGTAAACCTCTCTAGGCCTCTGTTTAGTCCATCAGACTTGAAAAATACAGTAGAATGACTATATAATTTCCATGTATTTTTAAGGTGGCTAGGACTGTCAGAAAACCTGTCATTGAGAAGTCTGGAAGAAAATTTACTTTCATGAGGAGCACACTAACCTGAATTAAGAATCTTTGGGGGAAGAAATAAGAAAAGCTTTGTTGCATCTGGTAACTCTAGCTCCATAAATAATTCTCACTTGCAGATAAGTGTTAAAGTTGTGTAGTTGAGATGGTGATCTTAATGTGCTTTGAAGTATTTTGTTATAGATTGGCAATATTTTTTTTAAAAACCCACCAAAACTAAACAGTAAATTATAAAATTCAATTATATAAAATGTTGAATTTGTGTGTGACTAGGTCTACTCTTAGAGCTCTCTCCATTAATGGAAAGGTAAACTCACATGTTTATTTGTGAGATTGTTTTAGTGATTTTTTTTTTTTTCAGGAGAAATAAGACACATTGATTTATAAAAGTGTGAAACTTTCTTATAAATAGAAGGATGAGCAAGTTATTTTACGTTCCTAAAATACCATCAGAGGCTCTTGAAGGAAATTGTGTCAATGACACTAGGCATTGTTGCAGCTATAGATTTTGCTGGTAAAATAGGCTAACATTTTTAAATTTAATGCTTTCAAATTACTGGAGCAGCATAGATATTTTGATTATACATATTATAATGAAGTTTGGTGACACTGCTATATTTTTGCTATCTAAGAAAAGAATCTGTTATTTCTGCTGAATTCTTGAAAGTGGTGTGGGTCTAATACAGCGGCTTTGCAGTCGGGGAAAACAACACAAAGGAGGAAAAAAGTACGAAAAAATATTTTTCAGGAGATTATACCAAAGCATATTAACTGTAACCAAACCACCCAAGATAAGGATAGTGTAGAGCAGAGGAATGTTTGTGGAGGACCATTTCTGTGCTGCTACTTGTGCTGTACCCTAATGCAGCAGCAGTGGGAACTAATTCTCTGTACAGGTACCACCCGCCTGTCTCCCTCCCTCCCTCCCACAGGACTCTGATTAGCATCTGAGCCCCCAGAGGCCGGTGTCCATCTCCTCGGGCGGTGGGGAGTGAATGGTGAGGATTGCCACAAATGAATGGCGAGGGGACAGCAGTGATCAGACTACAGATAGCAGAAATACAGAGGGGAAAAGTGCAAGATAAGAGACAAACTGGTGGGGGGGGGGTGGCGG